CTATCTATCTATCTATCTATCTATCTATCTATCTATCTATCTATCTACTTATTGTACTCTATGACTATTATTAAGTGTTGTACCTTCTGATTATTGACTCTTGACGAATGTATCTTTTATGTACATTGAGAGCATATGCACTGAAGACAAATTCCTTGGGTGCCCAATCACACTTGGCCTATAAAGAATTATATCTAAAACACTCTCAATTGTGCCTCTATAAAAAGTGGCCAGGACAGAAGGATGTGCTCTCCTCATCCGACTCAGGAAATGCAAACGCTGCTTTGCACGCTTCACTAAAGATAACATGTGAAGAGTTTCAGTCAGATTGTTAGTTATCTGTACCCCCAGATACTTAATACACCTCTTGAAGGTATTATTGTAGTACATTTTATATGGGCTTCCTCTTGAGGATCATTGTGATCTAAGTGAACAATGAGGCAGTATGAACAATTAGGGGTGCACCTCATTACACCCATACAAACCACAGTTGCCAATAGCCATTCCAGATTATTTGTAGGTCTCATTTTACTGGCCAGTCAACTAGATTTCACAAGATGAACATACTCTTCATCCAGCAAATTAAGAAGTGCTATCTGGCACAATGTAGGAAGTTAGCCTAGAAAGATTAACTAATTCATAATTTACCTCTAATAGTATAGGTTACTATGAGGACTCTATACATAACATGGGAAATTATTCACATCCTAGGACTTCCTGCAGTTTTATAGACTATTAGAAATACAGTTATTTGTTTTAGAAAATGATATTCTTCTTACTTATTTTCTGGGGAGATGTGAAGAAATATATTTGCAAAAATGCTCAAGGTAGCAGGTGTCCCAAGGAGGTATATCCTGAAAGGTAAAAGGTAAAATCTCTTTTGCTCTACTCTTGTTCCTAACTGCAGGCCATTTAGATCACTATTAACCATTATTTGAGCCTACTGAAATTAATAGACTTAATTCCTTGAAAATAATTCTCATTGAAGACCCTGTCTTCTAAAACACATTTCAAAATCATAATTCAATAAGGAAATTGGCCTATAATTCTTCTGATATATTTATAGTAGTTGTAGGATGTTCATAATTTGTCTCTGGCTTTGTGAGTGTTTGGGTAAGTTACATTTTTTAAAGATAAGCATCTTTTCTTTTATACAAATTGGAACAAAAGTCGTAACAAGATTTCTCTATACTTGCATAACCCAATAATATTTTTTCTCTTTTCTCAATTTTCAATATTGTTTTCTTTTGTTTCTCCTTTCTCAGCTTGTGAGCCAATCATTTTCTTGGTTTATTTGCAAATTCAAAATTCTTTTTTCTCTCAGGTTTAAAACAATAGACAATTGTTGTAAAATTTTAATCATATATATAATAATTAAGTCTGCTGGAATTGTTTGGTAAATGATCAACCTTTTAAAAACTTTCTTCCAAAATTGCCTGCAATTATATATAAAATTGTAACTATTTATTGTTATAGCAACTTATCATGTTATCTTTTTTTTCTTTGTCATTTCTCTTGGCATTTTTATGATTTCTTTTTTTCTTTGATAAAGTATAATCATCACTATTATTTTACTATTTTATTTTTCTGTTTTTTTTTTTGTTATGAATTGAAAACCAAGAAAAATAAATTAACAAATCAGGCAGCTTATGCTATTTAATGAAGCAGAGGAATTCTTTCAATATATTATTGAGATAAACATTTTAGCTCCTAAATTATGCTTAACTTAGTTTTTCCTCTCAGCTTGAACAGAGAAAATGGCAATTCACCTCTCAGAATTGGATCCTCTGGGGGACCCCATTTGTTAGTTCCAAAGAGGCAGAGGTTTCTTTACAAGGAAGATTTCTAATAATAAGATTTATTAACAATATTTCCAGCCTGCAACAAACTTCTTAGAACTTAGATGGGGAAGAACAAGGCAAACCTATACATGTGAAACACAATACAAACCACAATCATTTGATTCGTTTCATTTTCCTTGTTTAATTTCATTTAGTATTACTGATCTAAACAAACAAACAAACAAATTAAAAAATTGTCCAGTTTGGGCATGAGTATGTCCTGAAACTATAAGGCAAAAAGAGATTGTTGAATTTTAAATGAATAAAGAAAAGATTAAACAAAAATAACCATAATTCTTGGGAATGAGAAACCACAACCAAAAGTATTTGTAAACCAGAGTAATATATTTTGAGGTCTAATTTGTAAACAAATCATTCTGGAAAAAAGTTGTTTAGCCTCTGCTCCAGTTTTATTACAATTCCATAAATCTAACCTAGGATAATAGGAAAAAGGTTGGAGAGATAATGAGAAATAGGCAGGTTGGATTTCTTAAAATATAAACTACACAAAATATTTTGTGATGAGGAATCCTAAATTATCATCTTAATCTTTTTTTAAAAATACAAACCTATATTTTTATTTTATTTTTAATGCAAGCTGCTCCTTTGTGTTGAGATCTGGCCTCAGGATAATAATGTAGCACTTGGGGATGAAGATGCAGCCCAACAGACCAGCACCAGAGGACAAGATGGAGAAGACCTGCACAGCCACCATGTATTTCCCTTTGGTGCTCAGGTAAGCAGGCACAAAACTCACCCAGACACTGCAGAAGACCAGCATGCTGAAGGTGATCAGCTTGGCTTCATTGAAGGCCCCAGGGAGATTCCTGGCCAGGAAAGCCACTGTGAAGCAGATGCCAGCAAGGAAGCCCATGTAGCCCAGGGCTCCATAGAACATGGCAACAGACCCTTCATTGCATTGCAGGATGATCTCTCCAGGCTGGGAGTGGAGGTCAGAGTCAGGGATGGGGGGAGAGATTCCTAGCCAGATGGAGCAAATGAGAGTTTGGATCCCAGAACAAGAAAGTACAAGGGAGCTGGCCAGAGTCTTCCCCAGCCACCTCCTCATGGTGTTTCCCGGCTTTGTGGCCAGGAAGGCCAACACTACCATAATTGTCTTGGCTAAGACGGAGGAGACAGCGGTTGAGAAGACAATGCTGAAAACTGTTTGACGGAGAAGACAAGTGGCTTTCCTTGGCTGGCCAATGAAGAGGAAGGAAGTCAGGAAGGAGAACAACAGGGAGATGAGAAGGATATATGAGAGGTCTCGGTTGTTGGCCTTGACTAATGGAGTTTCTAAGTGTTTTATAAAGATCGCTAAGACAAGCATTGTGGCTAAAGATAAGAAGAGGGCAAAGAAAGCCAGGATGATCCCCAGAAGTTCTCTGTAGGATAGGAAGGTTATCACTTTGGGGATGCATTGATCTCGTTTCTTATTTGGATGCTGAGTCTCTGAACATTTGGTGCATGTTTTTGCATCTGTAGATAAGAGAGAGGAGAGAAATGTGATTTATCCACCTCCTGTAATGTTTGCCTTTTCTCCTTCTGTCTACCTTGTCCATCATTATCATCTCTTCTATAAATGCATCATTAAAATTTGTAAATTCTATCTATTTTGTTTCTTATATTTTGGAGCAATCAATTTCATTCACACCTACTTTTACCTGAGAACCTGATGTACTTTAAAATATTCTTTTTGTGTGTGGCTGTATTTTTAGCATTTTTCTCATTAATATGGCTTTTTGAATCTTTTGGAGAAACCTTGCTGAAATAGTATCAGCATTGAATGTGCAAAGTTATGTCATTTTTCATACAAAGGTCCTCATTTTTCTTCTAACAACTCTGCAGAGGTGATCAAAGGAAAAAGAAGGGCTGGCCGAAAAGCCATCTTTCACCCGGATATTTTCTTACACTTCACTTGATAAAACTAGTTCTGGATCTTAAGGCAAGGAAGCCAAAAAAAAAAAAAGACATCAATGGAGAAAGCTGACTCTTCCACTGACCACTGTGAGAGACCACTGTTACCACTCCCACTGGTGGTGCTTCTCTTTCAGAGCCACCCACCTTCGTTAGTGGAGATGGTCCCTTTTGCGCAAGGAACACAGTCGTAACAGCAAGTGGGCTCTCCTTCCCGAGGCAACTTGACAAATCCTGGGTGGCAGCTTTCCACACACTTGGATTCAGGGAGAGGCTAAGCAAAACAGATAACAGATAATCAGAGGTGGAAGGGACCCTACACCATTTCTGACAAATGGCAGTCCAATCTCTTCTTGAAAGTCTCAAGTGATGTTGCTCCCACAACTTCCGAGGACAAGCTGTTGATTGTTCTGCTACATCTGTCAGAAAGTTTCTCTTTATTTCCAGGTTAAATTTCTCCTTGTTCAGTTTCCATCCATTATTTCTTGTCTAGACTTCAAGTGCCTTAGAAAATAGCTTGACCCCTTCCTCTGTGTGGCAGCCCCTCAAATATTGGAAGACTGCTATCATGTCTCCCCTGGTCCTTCTCTTCATTAGACTAACCATGCCCTGTCTGTAACCATTCTTCATGTTTTAATCTCCAGTCCCCTAATCATCCTGGTTGCTGTTCTCTGTATTTTTTTCTAGAGTCTCAACATCTTTTTTATGGTGTTGTTTTAGTGTGGTGACCAAAACTGGATGCAGTACTCTAGGTGTGATCTTACTAAGGCTTTGTAGAGTGGTACCACACTTGATCTTGATTGTATCCCTCTGTTAATGCAACTTAGGATTGCATTAGCTTTTTTCGCTGCTGCTGCACACTGCTGGCTCATATTTAGCTGGTTGTCCACTAAGACTCCATGATCCCTCTCACAGTTACTGCTATTAAGCCTGGTTTCACTCAGTCTATATGTGTACTGTTGGTTTTTCTTGCCTGTGTAGGACTTTACTTTTCTATACATTGAATTTCATTTTGTTAAATATGGCCCAGTCTGTCAAGATCCATCTGGATCTTGAGGCTATCTTCTTGGGTGTTAGCTATTCCTGCCAGCTTAATATCACCTGCAAATTTGGTTCCCCTTCTATTCCCTCATCTATGTCATTAATGAAAATATTGAAGAGTACTGGGCCTAATATGGAACCTTGTGGCACCCCACTGCTTACTTCCCTCCATGTAAACTTAGACCCATTAAGGACTACTCGGTGTGTACGGTTTGTCAGCCAGTTGCGAATCCATCTGGTAGTGATGCTATCTATCCCACTTTTTTCTAGCTTACCAAAAAGTAGGTTGTGGTCTACTTTGTCAAATGCCTTGCTGAAATCTAAGTATATTATGTCCACAGTATTTTGCTGGTCTACTAATTTATATAGAAGGAACATTATGGGCAATGTGTAGGGTGCATCATTGTTACTTCTGCTGACAGCCATCTGATGGTTCTGTCTAAGGTTCTGTCTTGACAGCTTTAAGACTTGTGGACTTCAACTCCTAGAATTCCTCCTCCAGTCATGTTAGCTTGGGAATCCTGGGAGTTTAAGTTCACAATGGTTAAACTTACCAAATTTGAAGACCCTTGGTCTAAGGTGACTTAGTCTTTGCTAGAGAGAGATGGGTTATAGAACTATCTGCAGGGCCTCTGGGAGGAAATATGATTATCAAGGCAAAAGGGTCTGAAATGTTTGTTAATCAAGAGCGAAAATATCTGGAAGTGGCTAAGACAGACACCTCCTTATTTCACTGGAGTATCAGAAAGTGAGGCAGAGCATTAGAATTACTCCTGCAAAATAATATAATTAGAGTCAACCTTCAAGAGAGCATGTCTTCCTTCCTTCCCTTCCTTCCTTCCTTCCTTCCTTCCTTCCTTCCTTCCTTCCTTCCTTCCTTCCTTCCTTCCTTCCTTCCTTC